CTTCGAATTTTCACAAAAACAACAACTTGAAATAGCAAGGAGATCTAACAAAGATACTCCTGGTGTCCATGTCTTCTATCTAGAATCGGATGAAGTAGAAGACGTTAAGAAGAACTGTTTGAAAAGTAGAAGCGAAAAACTTCGATTAGCAGGTAAGAAAGAATTTCAGTTCTATTCTCGTATGTCTATATTGATTTAGGTACAATACAAGGCATTCGCAGTATGCATGAATTCAAACCGATTAGCCGTTCAACGATTCAGTATAGTGTAATGTCTCGATCAACGCAGACAAAGACTTTTACGTTCAAATAAAGCTCCTTTTATTTGTCATTTATCAATCAACGTTTTTACAATCAACCTTGACCTTGATACCTAGCGTTCAGAAAGATTTGACAGCTCTCTTCCTCATTATACTCGATTTCTTCCGTATAAGGGTTGATCAATCCGGATGAATTTTGGCATGAAATTTTATGTTATCCACTTTCCATAGCTCCACCAAGAAAAGAAAAGAAAAGAAAGTTTCTTCGAATTAATTCAGTACAATTTGTACTGACGAAATATGACTGTTGTTATATTCACAGAAAATGGCTCAAGACATATGGTTGCCGATACGACTGATCTAGTTATCATTAGAAAACAATTCTGTGGACTTATTCGATACTTATGAACACCAAAAACTCCGAAAAAAGAGCTCTTATATAGTTGTAGGCGTTTTTCTGTCATTTTTTTTCTCTATATAAAAATATACCGTACTTGTATCGAAAAAACGGTAAAAAACTCGGGGTTTTTCGCAGATAGGATCCAACTTTTTTCATCAAAAGTGTTTTTTGATGCATACCGGCTTATCGAAGCGAAAAAAACCGAAAAAAAAACTTTCCAAAAAGTGGACGGGTCCTCATGGATTCACCCTATACTGTATCTCCGGATAGGACGTTCAGAAAAGAGTAAATGTTCGTTTTTAAGCATAGCTTTTCAAGCTGTATCGGATAGGCTAGCTCAATTCAAAGGTAAAAACTTGTCGTACGCAGACGTATGGATAAATATATTCAATCTCTTGTGGATACTCCCTAAGGGCCACATCGATTGAATTTGCAACACGCTTCAGCTTATCCAAGCATAATGATAAGCGTGTTTGATATACCGGTTATTCCATAAGTCACGATACCGAAGAAAGCAAATATCTGTATACGTATACAGATATTTGCTTTCTTCGGTATCGTGACTTATGGACCACCCGGTACTATTTTCTGCTTATATGGAGAACTAAAGTAGACACGAACTTTGTTCAAACTTCAATTGACGCAGCATGTTAAACTTTACGTATACTATGAAAACGATTTGCTGTCGACAAACTTCTGAGTTTCTGGAAAAGCCGTTTGATCGTGTAGCATGGTCTCACTAAAGGACTATCATTGTGTAATATTTATCATTGAGGTGAGATTTCTTGCGAAACTGTTGATCGCAACATAATTTAACAAACATGTGCTCGGTACACCTACTTGCACGCTTCTCAGTTGTAAAAAGTATTTCTGCCACTTGGTTTTCTTCGGGTAATACATACAAGAAACTAACCGACCTGATAGAATATAGCTTTTTATGAACCACTTTTGGTGTACCTCATATGATCTAGATGGCCTAAATGCTCGACGGATTAATCCGTATGCGTTGGTCACTGCTCCGTCAAATAAATTAGATGGATCCATCGATATGCAAACAGATAGTCTTCCTAAGAAAGTGGAAAACCATCTATAGAAGTGTAAAGCGATCTTAGTTGTTAAAGTAATGGGCTAGTGGCCCTTTTTGTAAAACACAAAATTCTGCATCAAACAGAGATGCTCGATGCACTTTCTAGAAAAACTTTCTTGCTGAGTGTTACAGGCATGTATACAACATGTCTTCTACGGAAGTGGAGACAGTTTCATTATCAATGTGAAAAACTACATTCAGAAACCTGCTTAAATGTTTCCTTTGCAAAAAATCAATTTTTCCAAACTTGATGAGTGAGTCGACTTTCTTCTGAACACACAAAAAGGAACCAACTATATGTTAAAAGATGTCTTTTATCCTTCTTTACTTTTTACTGTACTGACTTGAAGACAATAGTTCGGAAATCCAGTCATCATACAAGTTTGTGAAGATAAGTCAAACTTTTATTTTTGTAGACGAAAAAGCTACAAAAGTTAGTCGTTATTTATTAGCTCTTTAGTTTCTTCACTTTTTTTTACCACGTGGAGTTTTATTTACCAAATATTTTACCTTATGTGCAAGTAAATAGATGATAAGAAACAATAGCGATCATTCATCCGTGTCCCTTTCTACGAATGGACGTTGTCAACAAGCATATGCGTATCTATACGTATATATCTATATTTCTTTCCCTTCACGTATTCGAAAGAGAATCGACAAAGGTATATAATACGAAGATTACATTCGAAATAACTGACACAAGCGAAAACGAAGTAACGCGATAGGCATAACAAATGCGTCCTTCGCGAAAATCACTAAATAACAACATCGTGTCGTATGGTTCCGACGAAACAAGTTGATTACTCGAAGTCGACCATTGTTCGATGCCGCTAGGATGACTGTGCACATGGAACTTATGTTATTTTTCAACTCAACTCTTCCAGAGTGAGTTAGTATCAACAGCACTGGCATATTTCGCAAACGTTAAATACCAATAATGACGTTAACTCTGCTTCAGAAAGAGCACCAACTCCAGGGATGGTGACTGCATCGCAATACTTTATTCTACTGCATATGAAAGTGGTCCCACCCTGCCACTGCTCTTCTCATACGAAAGAGATCCAGTACTCCAGATGTGGGGACAAACAGTAGTTAATCAAACAAGTATGGCCCAGTCTTAGAAATAGTTATCGTTAAGTACACATTGCATTTTGTATCCAGTAAAGCTGTTCGATCGCAAACTAGTCTCCAGATTGCTGTTCAGTCTTTATAATGGACACCGGATAACTCAATCAATTGACAATTATTTTTGCGGATACGATCTCCATTAAACATCCTAAGTACATCCATTCAAGATCAATCATGCACGTGAAAAGCTGTTTATTTACAGGTAGGTGAAATCTTTTCCCCGTTGTTTCGCGTACAACTTCGGAAAGCCGAAGTTGGGGTAATGCTGTGATTTAGCACTACTTGAACCGGAACAACAACTTCTTCTTCTTCTTCTTCTTCTTTCTCTCTCGTTGTTTCGCGTACAATTTCGGGAAGCCGAAGTTGGGGTAATGCTGTGATTTAGCACGACTTGAACCGGAACAACAACTTCTTCTTCTTCTTCTTCTTCTTTTCTTCTCACTCTCCCCGTTCTATCGCTTTGCTGAAATATATTGGAAAGATGAGTCAACGGAGAAATGTATCGACGTGTATGGATACATTTAACATGCAAGTAGATGACAAATGAAAATACAATCTTGTCCAACAGTGGCACAAGTCCTATTATGATGCGTCATACACAATCACTGCAGAGTCGTTCATTGCCGATTCGCGTTTTTGAACGAAGCCATCGTATTCAACGTTGCATCTGCCACTCTGATTATGGTGTTGAAAATGATGTACAGAACGCTGTGAATTGCGAATCATAACATTTGGAAATCTCATAAACATGCACATCCTATGAGAGTGACGATTGTTCTCTTCAATGTGGCCGCCATGCAAGCGACGAAGACGAGAAACAAAGGGATGCACGAACACATAGAGCACGTTTTCAGTTTTATGAATGTGTGGGATCTTGAGAATTAAAGAAAAATAGAAGTGTGGGTGTGAACGTGAGGACAAGAAAAGTTGACGAATGGGGAACTAGATGTGTCAATCTGAAGGTAAGTTAAAATGCTTAGAACTCAGTAGTATTGTCAAAATCGAAAGTTGAATTCAAGCATTCAACTATTCTACTATTCTAGTGATCAATTCTTTCCTTTTCTGAAAGAAAGGATTATACAGCGGTTAAGTCCTGGGCTACAAGAGCTTAAAGTTTACATGTCTGTCCTTTCCAAGCAGAGATTAGCATTTATGAAATCAATGAAGTCTATTGATAGTCATCAGGGATCCACTTCTCGTCGGGTAATCGAGATCGCGGAACTCGAATCTGAAGTTAGTTTTTCTCGTATTCATCAGCCTTCGGCATCTACACTACTCTTCCCAAAAGATGTGTTCTCCTGTATTTTTTCTGAGATCTTTTGTAGGCTGGGCGTGGGTTAAACGTTATTCCTGTATGTATTGCGTGCGAAGATAGTAGTTTAGGAGCTTACACAAAAAGATTTAGTATATCTTACATTACAATATTTGCAATTCAAGAAATGAGAAGAAGCGGTAGAGCCCAATATCATTAATGGATTGTTCACTGTGATACATGAGGTCTTTCGATAGAATTTCAGCAGAAATATGTTGCAATAGGGTATGTCTGTTACTACAATTCCATCTTATTATCTACAGAGACATCGATTATACAAATCATCGTCATCATCATCATCATGCCCTTATGCTCAACGCTCATTGGGGCCAACCATTCTATAGGATCAGATTTCTCGATGTCTCTCGATCTTGCGCAAGGTGGAACAGTTCCTGTCCACTGCGTTGACACCACGCACGAGGGAACCGTCCCAACTGTCCAATCGCTTTTGAGCCGATATCTTGAGTATCTGTGGGCACTCTTCAGACTAGTATAATCCTAGAAGGATTTGGGCTGCTAGGGACTTCGAGCCGAGTTATATGGGTTTTACTGAATTTTGGGCAGTTAGAGGTGGAGGTGAGTGAAACGCTAAACATAGAAATTTTGAGCTGAAATTTTTGCCACAAGTAGCCTCAATCATCATTAGAATATCCTGAAAATTTCAGTTGTAAATATTGTTTCCTCGTTGAGATATTGAATTTTCAAATCAACCGCCATTTCGTATTTCGTTTTGGAAGAATCGGGAAAAACAAACATTTCTTCAGTACTTAATATCTCAACGAGGAAGCAATATTTTCAACTGAAATTTTCAGGATATTCTAATGATGATTGAGGCTACTTGTGGCAAAAATTTCAGCTCAAAATTTCTATGTTTAGCGTTTCACTCACCTCCACCTCTAACTGCCCAAAATTCAGTAAAACCCATATAACTCGGCTCGAAGTCCCTAGCAGCCCAAATCCTTTTAGGATTATACTAGTCTGAAGAGTGCCCACATATACTCAAGATGTCGGCTCAAAAGCGATTGGACAGTTGGGACGGAATCCTTGTCAGTTATGTCGTCCAGACGCTCTCTGTATGAACGCCCCGTCGAGACTTTCCATCCATTTTTCCGAAGAGCAAACGTTTTATCAATCTGCTATCATTCCTTCAGAAGATGTGGCGAAACAACCGCAGCTTCCACATTTTGGTGGTGTCGATTATCGCCTCCTCTCTTAATATCTTTCTTCAGATATCTTCGTTTCGTATCATGTCTTGCCATTTTTTTCTTAGATCCATCAGTAACATTGTATTTCGTGTACCAATAATTTTTTCCTGTCTGCTTCTTTCAAAGTCCACGTGTCTGAAGCGTGTAGTAGGACACTGACGACACAGGTATTTAGGACTTGTAGTTTGTTATCTATCCTTAGTTTTTTGCTGTTCCAAATATGTTTTAATGGAGCTAGTGCACCTGTCGCTTTTCCTATTCGCCTTTTGATTTCCTCTGAACAGTTACTATCCCCAAGTGATTAACCTGCTGAGGTATCCGAATTTTTCTACATTCTCCGTGCTGCCACCTGCTACTTGTATCTTATTTTCGACACTCCTGTTTTCAAATACTATAGTTTTGATTTTGCGTGTAATTATTCACTATTAGTCCAGACTGCTCGCCTGCTGTTTTTGCTAGCTCAACTTAGCCTTGAATTGAGCTAAGATGTTCACAATGAAACCAATGCCATCAGCGAATCTTAGTTTGTTTATAAGTATTCCACTGGCATGAATTCTGCAGGTGTTCTGCCTTACCCGATCCATTACTTTTTCAAGATATACGATGAAGAGAAGTAGTGACAGAAGAGCGCCTTGTCTTGTTCGTACGTCCGTCTGAAACCACTCGCCATAATCATTACCAATTTGAACAGCTGACTGACTTTTCACAGATATTTTGTGGCAGTGTGATTATTTTCATGTCAACACCGTATGATTTTAGCGTAGTCTAAATTATTTTATATTTGAACGTATCGAATGTTTATTGAAAATCAATAAAGCAATTATAGATTTTCCTTCCCTATATTTTTGCCTTCTCGACCAGTAGTCTAAGCATCAGAATCTGTGTATTGTGCTTCTGCCTCTCCTAAATTCTGTCTGTTCTTCTGCAAGATATGAGTCTAGGTACCAAAATAGATTTGTCCCATTCTTCTGGGATTGTATCTTCATGCCATGCTTTGTTACAGAGCTGATATATTCACGTGCTAGTGGTTCTCCTCCAGTTTGTAGCATCTCTGCTGAAATTCTGTGTGATCCTGGACTCTTATTTCTTTTAACGCACGTATTGCTGTTTGGACTTCAGAATACAGGATGTCCTTGCTATGCTCAACTATTGGAGGGGCGATGCCTTTAAGTTCTTCAACCACCTCGTCCCCCACCATCAGGATCTTTATACAGACTGCTACAATACTGTATCCATATATCTTTAATATCATCCTTTGCCTGTAACAACGTTACCAATATTTAGACCTTTCTCAGCTTGTTCGCATTGATTTTGTATCCAGCATTCTTTACTCTGTCTTGGAGATTTTTTCACTTTCCGACATAAGTCTTGATATTGCTGAGTATATTGTATGGAAGCATTATTCTTCTCTTTTAGTTTTCGTTTTTCATCGGCAATTTCTAATGTTATTTCGGAAATCCAGGATTTTTTAGTTTTCCCTTTTGCCGGTGTCGCTGTCTCTACTGCATTTTTAATGGCCTGTCTTATCGTGTTTGAATGTTCTTCTAAACTCATGTTGGTCCTATACTCTTTATATTGTTCAATAATGTAGTACTGTATGATTGTCTGATATTCTCATCTTTCAACTGATTTACATAAACTTTGTGTGAGTGACTTGGTTTGTTCGATATTTTCTTGAGTCTTAGTTTAATATTGCACAAGATTAGAGACTGGTCTGAGCTTATGTCTGCACTCTGAAAAGTTCGACAGTTGATGATTGAGATGTCCCATCTACTTTGTCTGAAAATTAGATCAATCATATTCTTATGAATACTTTCTGGCGATGCCCAGGTCCATTTTCCATTAGGTTTCTGTTGAAATCGTGTAGTACATATGTAGAGATCATGTACCGTGGCATATTCTAGGAGGTGTTTTCCGCGTTCATTTCTGTCGTCATATCTGTATTTAGCCATAACTGATTTCCAATCTGCGTTTTCCGTACCAATCTCAGAGTTCCAATCTCCTGCCATAAGGATTATATCCTTTTTATCTGTTTTTGTTATTACTTTTCCAATATGGCTATAGAATGCTTCAATGTCTTCTTCTGATGATGCAGAAGTTGGTGCATATACATGTATGACTGTTATCTTTAAATGGTGTTGCATGAAATCGCGCCGAAATTATTCGTGGACTGATTGGATTATATCCTATTAATGCTTTTTTGCTTGTGCACTAAATAAGAAACCGACACCTCTCATATGTACAGTCTCTTCTCCTGACCAGATGAAATCCCCATTCGGTGTTTCACCGTTTCCTGTCCAACATACTTCAGAAATACCAATTATATCATACCTAAAACGTTTCATTCCGTTTCGTAACAAGTCCAATTTTCCAGCAGCCTAGAGTGCTGCACATTCCGTGTCCCTACTGTTAAAGAAATTTTGGCAAGAGCTAGTTGTTTCGTGTTTTTTGTCGTATATGAGTTCTTTTCAGTCGCCAATTTATCGACTCTGCCCTGGTCACTCAGCGGAGGACGCGGACCTTGTTCTTCCGGACGCCGTCCGAGCCGGTATGAATTTCCTCTTAAATCGTTCATGGTTAGTTTCTGTCGTCTTGTTCTTTTTACAGATGGCGGTATCTGCATCCCTTCCGTCCAATACTCCTCCTTTGTCCGGACTTGTGACCGGCATAGAGTCCACAATTAGTGGTCTCCATGGTGGAGTTCGACTATACCAATAGTATTCTAATAATATAAAGCGCTATGGTGGGTGCTCTTGGCGCACTAAAGCATAAAAGCTTTTTATCTTGTTTCTTTTGGTAGTCAAATAATGGAAGGTTACCACTGTGGAAGCAATGATGAAAAGAAACGTAGTTATTCAATTTGACAGCTAATAAAAAATGAAAGGCATAATGGAGACGTCTCTTTTGAAAGTTACTTGAAAGATGAGGCTGTTAAGAGTCCTAGCTAGTATCAATGATTTTTCGAAGGGCTATATTTATGTCCCTTCGAACTTTGAGAATAAGCACTGCAGATTATCAGCTCCGTAAATCGAAGTGAACAATAAAATATGAACTCTGAATCAAACAGTCACGAAGAATTTTTATAACTGCGACGGCAAACGCGCTCAGTAGCAAAATATCATAGAAATTTATGATGGATCAACAGCTAACCGTGAGTGACAGCTCGGAGGGAAACAGACGAAGGACTAGGCGCTAGTTTGATGAGATGTGAGGAAGCAAATCAAGTATAAATAAAAGATCAGAACAAATGATCAAATGACTGGATCATTCAAATGAAATCATGTTTATTTATTTCTTTTGAGAAATAAGAGAGATCTGATGATATTGTTTCAGTACAGAGTTAGCAGGTACTACGTCGTGTTAACTGTTTTATTTAGATGAATGTATAACAAGTAACGCGGCCTAGTAGCCGCTAAACCCTCTACTGAAAGGATAGTATTAGAGCGCTACTATTCGTCCAAAGAGACAAAAATGTTATTTCTGTTAAACGATTTGATCATTTGATAATTTGTCAGAATGTTTTACGTAGACTAATTTCGCTTCCTGAAATCTTCTGAAATCATAACGTCTAGTCGTTTGTCGACCTCTCTCCAGCCGACCACTCACCGCTAGCCGTCGGTACCTAATAAGTGTTTAATGATATTTTCATATTAAAAACTATCTCTTTCTTGTTGAGTCCGTCTCTAGCAAAGTTGCCGAAATTCTTCACAACTTCGTGACCTACAGTATATTTTTTATTATCCTTTTTAGTTGAATGAGTTGGTGATCTACATAGTTTTTTCTCGAAGCTCGAAAAGACGCCGTATATATATACCTTAGAAAATTTATAGACACTATGCGACAGTCTTATAAATCTCACTTTTCAACCAATTTTCAAAAGAAACATCTAGTCGTTTGTCGGCCTCCCTTCGGTCGGCCACTCACGGCTAGCTGTTCCCATGTGTGCTCATTTTACTATCTTAACTTCATTCGGATAAAGACGCGTTCCGAAAATGAGCACATTTCGGAAAATCAATTCATAATCAAAAACTTCGAAAGTTCACATAGCTATATGATTCTCTGGAAAAGTTTTCGATTTTCTCTCCACCACGAGGAACCTTAAATAGCTGCCACCTATGTTCGCGCAGAGCAACGAATAATTTCTGACCAAGAAATCTTAAAGCTCTATAAAAATCACAAAGTTTGTTCTTAAAAATATTATTCTGCAAATCGACGACTAGTCGTTTCATGTACATTTTCACTCTTCCATTTAGTCTAGAGTCACTTTTGAAACTAATTCATTCATTCTCCTCTATTTCTTCTTTAAAAGTCACCCTCTTTGTGCTACTGTGACTGTCGAAGACAACACCTGACAAGCGAAACATTATTTTAAATGACTGCTATCAGATGATATTCGTACAGTATAGCTGTTTATAAAAGTGTGTGATCTCATTAATATACTGATGACTATGGAGATCCAGCGATCGGACGTCAGTCAGCTATTACATTTTTTGTTCTACATATTGCCGCTTAAAACATTATCGTCTAAAAAATTGTTCCGTTGTCGTAAAAAAAACGGGCCAGAAAGTGTTCATGAAAAAACTAACACCGGATTCGAGATCCTCGACCTCGATTACCCTTCGGTCGACTCTTACTCGACAACAAAGAAAATTTTCATTGCTTAATTAGCTAATTAGCTAATGAGGTAATTAGAATTTCGACAAACTAATCTCGGATTCGAGTTCCTCGACCCCGATTACCCTTTGGTCAACCCTTCTTAGTCAGAGATGCAGATTGCTTTTTCGTTACTGTAAAGTACGTGAACGTACGGACAAACGAATGAACTTTAGCTCAAATTCTATGTATACCCTCCTTTAAGTAGAGGGAATTTACCAAAAAAATGTTTTTTTTACCTTTGACTCCAAGGACAATGTTCTTTTGAGCCCGTCTCTCATTTCGTGCCAACATCTACCCATGAGACCCCTCCTAGAAGACATACCTTTGAGTTTTGAGAATTTCAATAAATCTTGGCCTTTGACCTTCGACGCTGACACAAACATACAGACACACAAACTAATTTTTTTCATAGAACCCTCCTTTCAGTCGAGGGAATAAAAAGAATCTCAAATGCATGTTTTATTTTCAAAATTAACCCTTTAAAGGGCGACTTTTTGAGGAGCAAGTTTTGTCATTTTTTTGCATATGATGATAGCTATGATGTAGAGTATTATGCACAAAATGAGAGCAATGCTATTGGAGTACCCTATACCAAATACATTCATTTATAACTATCAATATGGATGTAACTCACCAAAATATTGTAGTAAAATAAGAAAAATGGATTTATTTCTTCTCTATCTTTAAGAAATTATGCTTTAGTTTGGGATAAAATGAAACGGAATATTTCCAAACACTAAATAAAATCCACCAAGCTGAGTTTTGCCGAGGATAAGATCAATTCTATGCGAAGAAATCAAATAATTTCAAGAAGTATCATAAAATGCTTTTATAAATGGAATCAAACGGCAAATAATAAAAAAAAACATGTGTATCAAAGGAAGTCCAATTGTTATAGATAATCATATGAAATTCTAATGAGTATGGAATAGATAAAAACAATTTCTTTGATGGGAAACACATAAAGCAACTTTGCAAGTTGAGCATTCAATTGATGATCTTTGATCATTATTTTTAGTGCTGCAATAGGCACATCTTCTTCGAGTCGTGGATAATGGAAGATGAACACCAACATTAGAAAATCGTATTTCATCTGAAATAGATATTTTTCTTTCACCTTTCCTGCGTTTCTTCACACTAGAGTTGCTTATAGGTCTTCCTTTTCTCTTGTATACTAAAGTTCTATATCCAATTAGGTCTTCTGCAATATCAGTTAAAAATTTCAAGTATGTTAATTTGTCATTTGGATGATCTCTGAGATAAATGACATAAGCATTTGATAACGCTACGTTGAGAAAATGAAAGAATATTCGAATCCAGTTCCGTCTAGATCTTCTATCAACAGCATAGTACCCAATTCTTTGATCAGCCCGATCGACTCCAACCTTCCCAAAATTGTGATCCAGAATCATCATAGGACAGTTTACTTCGATTTTTTGTCCGTCTTTCAAACTTCGAGTAATTGCTTTTACTTTTGTTGGATCAGCAAAATTTGACATAATATATACCGGTTTTCGATCCATCCATTTCACAATTGAAATAGAATTTTTGGATAAAAATTTGACTTCACCACGAATCATTTTTATATTGCGAATAAGTTCAGCTGGAATCCCTTTTCTGTTGGTTCTGATAGTACCGGTACAATATATTCCATCTTCAAGAAGTTGTTCAACAAGTAATGGAGACGCAAAAAAGTTATCGAAATAAATATGATGAAATCTCATTGATAATTCTCTAGTCAATGACCAAACAACATGTTCGCCAAGAGGTTTCTGCCTTTCGGCTGATTTGCCAGTATAAATTTGAAAATTGTACACATAACCAGTCAATGCATCAGCCAGCACCCAGACTTTGTACCCTCTTTTAATCGATTTTGATTTTATATATTGTTTAAATGAACATCTTCCTTTAAACTTTATCATCATTTCATCGATTGTCAAGTTTTTCTTCAGATCGAAGTGTATTTGAAAATTGTGTAACAATAGTTCGAGAAAATGTTTAACTTTAATTAATTTGTCGGATTGTAAATCAATATTTGCCTTTGATTTTGAATTATCTACTAGATGCAAACTTTCTAAGATTCTTTTAAAATTCTTACATGCCATTGTTGTTGAAATCTTTTCGTTTCTTAGTGATGCATCTGTAGACCAGTAGGAATCAACTGAAGGATTTTTAGAATAACCCATAATGATATTGATGCCAAGGAATTGTTCTAATTCAGCTTGTGTAACATCAGTCCAACTAATCGTACTTTCTGCTTTTTCATATTTCTTTCGTCCGTAGATATTTGTTTGTTCAAGGATAAGATTAAAAATTTGATCAGAAAACAATCCTCTAAATGTTTGTGCAGGAGATGATGGTAATACGTTGATACATTTCTTGGATGGTTGAAATTCGTGTACGAAAAGTGGACGAAAATGTTGTGTCCATGAACAATCAGAAGGTGCAGCAGCCAATAATGTTGTTATGCTATCGACTTCTTCATCTTCAGATTCATTTTCAGTAGAACTAGCTTCATATTTAAAATTATTTTCACTTATTTCTGAACCATTTTCACGTTCATTATCACCTTCACTACTATCAGTTTCATCTTCACTTATTTCTGAATCAATTTCATCTCCATTATCGTCTTCAGCACTTTGAAAATTATCCTGTGATGGATCCTTGTCAAATTTATTCGTCGTCGATAAATTTTTGAAGCGGTTCATACTTACCGAAACACGGACTTTTTTAGAAAAGATATTCTACTTATACTTTTATATTCAAAGATTAGTACTACAGCACGATTACCTATGCACTTTTTCTTTTTCATTTCTATTCTATTCTATTCTATTCTGTTCTATTCTGCTCTATTCTCCTTTCTCTCTTTGGAATTACGTACATGTAATATATATCTTCCTTTTCATGTATCCCTCACAGTTACTGACAGTCTGACATTGTTTCTTTTTCTGTTGTTTACTTTCTTTATTGCGTATTTGAATAATAAAAACGTAATATATTATTTTCTACGTTATGTAGCTTGAATTTTAACTCAAATAGTGATGATAGGTATATCCAATCTATGCAGTATCGTAATATTCTATATCAGAATGATTGTGTTTACTTCACTATAACTCTATTATCAAAAAGAAAAAAAAGTGGTACATATATGTCCCACCGCCCTTTAAAGGGTTAAGACGATTTGTCTGAATTGAACTGATTCTCGCATCTACAAATTGACTTCGATCAATTCTTGTTCGATCTTTTTCGTATATTTGTTAGACAAATTGAAAGTCAATTCGCACGTTTGTTTTGGATGACGATAAAGCGGATTATATATTGAGAGTAGGCATAGAGGTGGCTAGGTGTGAGTGAACGACGAGAGCGAGATTGGCCGACGATTGGATATTTATATGGAGAATTAGGTTGAAAATGAGAGTTGAATGTATTAGATAGTTGGAATGATTTCTAATGAAGAATAAAGTCTAAGTTTCAATATTTTTTATGAGAAATCGAGCGATTATGAACGGGTTAATTTTTTCCCTGGTTGATCGTTCTGGCGATTGAATCCTTCTAAATCTGATTCGGTTTCGGTACACTTCTTGTCGATTTCGACCGATTTCAACAGGTTTTGATCGGATTCGGCAAACTCCTTGCCGCCGGATTTCGGCTGGAACCGACCGAACCGCAATGACCTGGGTTGTGGAAATAGGAAACAGATTGTATATGTATCAACGACTATCCGTGAATGGCCGACGAACGACTAAACGTTAGAATCTCAGATTAATCTTGAAGTATACGTTTGGGTCAACCTGATCAAATTGGAAAGATTTTTAAAAGGAATTTGCCGAACGTTCTTTGATGAAACTATCCAATGCAGTGTCATTTTTGTGAAAGTAGAGAAAAGAATCAGCTGTTGGATGAAAAACACACACTAATATGCGAGCACGATTGACAGAAGAAAATTTACCAGCGAGTGTTTTTCTCAAAGACAAAATAGATATCTGAGATCACTTTAATAAATTTGTGTTTGTTTTCTCATCGATCTATACTCGTATTCGTCTTTTTACTATGTACGTTCGATGAGTTTTATGACAACCGATGTGTTTTTATTTCTCCGTTGAGTATATTGTTTGTATTCGAACATAACGTTGTTTTTATTTTTTTCCTGTTGTGCTTTTGAGTTTACATTATTTATTTGAATGCTGAAAAGAGAATAGCGATTTTCAAAAGTTGCGTTCTCTTTTTCCGTTCTATTTATTTTATTGTTTGATAGCTTTGTTCTATAACTGTACCACGCAATTTATTGAAGAACACTTGTTAGTCTATCTCGTTACTTTAGGTGTTATTCTATGAATTCAAAAAAAATTTTTATCGATACCGACCTCAAACTTGTAATCATGTATGATCGTATTTTGCAGATGGTACGGATTTTAAAAATAAAGCGATATATGTGGTTATAGCAACGAAAGTTGTGTTCATTTCAGTTGAAACTTGTAAAATGGTCATTTCGATGTGAAAGATTTAGATTTACTTGAAACGAATTTACTGGCACCAACTCGTTACGTAACAATTAAGATTAACAATCCTTAGCTTCGTACTAGATTTTCGAAGGAAAAAGTGTATTACTAAAATGTCTTATTCTCACGTTGGAAAGAAGGAGAACATGATCGTAAGGGATTAATTCTCCGTGATATGCATTGTCTCAATTTCATATTAAACATTGATGTCAATGTCTATGTCGGTAGAACTGTCATATCAATGCCACTAATGAGATCAGTGCTCACTGATGAGCAGTGTCAGTGAAAATTGAACAAGTTTTTCAGTATTTTCACTGAAACCGCACATTCCTAGATTATACTTGTCAGTATTTTTATATAGGTTTTGCGAATCTTTATTAGACTAAGGATGTTAAACAACGTTAAGAATCTTATTAAATGCCGAAGATCTATCAGCATCGTAAACATCGTATTTGACGTTTGTCAATCAATTCGTGCCATTTGCTATTGTTGGGTTAGGTTTCTTGCGAAAGACAGCCCGCCAATACACGGTGCACTCTTCACGCATATCTTCATAGATAGCTGTACCTGGTAAACCGGAAAAAGTACGGAAAGCTTCGGAATTTTCTGGTGCAATCACGTGTTTTATAACTCTCTCCGCTTCTTCACTTCTAATATCAAGTGACTGAAGAACATTTTTCGTAATATCAACTTTGTCTTTCACAATAAATTCACCAGTGTCTGTAAAGCAATTGATAGATGGTATGTCTTCTCCCTTTGAACAGAGATCACACCACAATAGGCAACCATTTGGACGAAGTATTCTGGCAGCTTCACGAGCAAACCTATTGATATTTTCTGCACTCATATATGCATGTGTTGCTTCAACAGATAAAACGAAATCAAATGATTCGTTCGTGAATGGGAGTATTTTCGTTGCATTTGATACAACAAATGCTGATCCTGGTAATTCTGCATGCTTTTGTTGACAAAGAGCAATAGCATTCGGAGAGATGTCAACACCAACATAGAAACGAGGTTTAAAAGTACGAATACACCATGCAGCTCCTCCACCTCGACCACAGCTTACTTCCAAGATATCTTTTCCTTCCAACGGTTTATTAGATAAAGTCTAAAATAGAAATGACACCTTGTCAGATAGATATAAAATCCACCGAGCCTAAATTCAATTTTAAAAAGTCACCAAAATAACTTGAAAGGCCAGGAAGAATTTTAAAATTGTGAACTTGACAGATTCTCATAATTATCTTAATCATTCCTTTCTTACCTGTTTATATAAGTTTTCACAAGTTTCAGTAATTTTCGAAATTTTTTTTACGCCTAAATCAGCGAAGCCATAATTCATGAATTGAAATTCTGGTAAATCAGGCTGTATTAATGCGATGTTATCGAACCCTTCGAGCACACCATTCCGTATTGCACTTTGATTTTTTTCCATAGTGTTAGCTGATATTGTATTCGTATGTGGTATTCCGACGAAATAATCGATAGTGTACTAATATCAGGTTGAGGAAAAAGTTCGTGCGCCGTGTTATAAGGGAGAGGGTGGGGTCACCCTCATAACATGGCGCACGAACTTTTTTCTCAACCTAGTATTACCATCAAGATTTTTTCGCACTATGATATACAACACACAGACAGTTCGTCGCATGTGTATACTATAATTAGTTTACATTGAAAAAAGATCTATTATTGGTTCACATAGCTGTATATTGTAATTTAATTAATACGAAAACTACACATTCGACAAAAATCCTATTGGTAATGTGAAGTGAAACCTAGTATTCTGATGGTATTTCTAACAACAAAAATCTGAACAAATTTGGAAAAATCTAAGAAAAGCTATTATCAAAGTACCAGAAAGTAAAATAGAGTTTAAACTCAAAAAACCGTGTTCGAAAGCCTTCAAAAGTGAAACATTACTTTACTGAGCACCAAGTAAAGTTCTATTCTCTTTTGTATACTAAGTGGTTTTCAGTATCATAAGTCACATAGAAGTTCAATGCGCGTCTGTCTATGAAAAAATAATCCAAGAAGACGTTCATGGGTTTTAGAGTAGTTTATTTACTAAATTTTCATTTCTTTGTTATAAAATGTGTTGACTTTTGTTCATGGAACTAGAGAAGTTATTCTTATGAAATCGAGATCAACTCTTAATCATCATCTTTTCGATAGGCTAGCTTTTCACTTAGTGCTACTACTTTCATGTATATGTCGTATTGAAGTTATACCTTCGACACGACATATATAGTAGAATACAAATAGTTGTTTTTACTATCTATTGAGTCTTTTAAATTTCTTACGCCGAGCGCCTCAGATGAAAAACTTATAACAAATACTAGGTATATATGTAAAGAAGAAAGTTTCCATGAAACTGCCCTTTGTCCAGATGAATGTTGACATCTACTTTATTCTGGAAAAGATGCATCACCCTCATGTTACAGGCAATCTATGAAGCTGACCAATAGGATCGCAGAATCCATATATACTAGGAAGGAAGTTTTTCTTTCTATTCGCTGTGAATTCAGTTTTGTTGTATCTACGGGCATCAAACTTTTCACGGCGCTTCCGTAAGTCCAGAGTGATATCAACATGAAGTCGATTTCGCAGAGAGTGGTTGAATAGGGATACCTGAATGGAATTTCATCCAAACCATACGACAGTGAAATCTTTTTCATAGTTGAAAAATGAAGTGAATTTCCCGCGACTCTAACATTTAGCATTAATATTAAGAGCTTTTCTAGGTCAATAAGCTAAGTGCCATTCAGACAGTCACTGGAGTGAAGGGGACCGTTTGGGTGAAATTTCACCTGCGTGATTTCCTTTGTCAATTAATATCATCAACGTTTCTACACCGTTCCGTAAGCTCAGGGAAAGATCGGAATGGAGTAGAGCTGAGCATTGCAGAAGGAAGAAAGGATTTGGACGATATCTCATCGAGCTTGTGCATACTATTATTTTTAGTAATTTCTCAGAATTTCAAGAGATTTACTTAAGGTTTGTACTGAGTTGTTCTACGTCCATTTCTTGAAGTTATGTAGGATGGCTGCACTAGAAATGAGCATGGCCAAACATGAAAACATCCATACCTACACAAAACTCTATCATGACGTGTGAGGAGCGATAGCGCGTTTATTCAAGAAGGACAACTGTAACTGCGATATTGTTCTCTAAAATGGGTCCACGAAAAAATGGTCGAATGCAAAAATATCAAACGAAAACCGATCGGTAGACAAATTGGTTGATGCAATGATTAGTCAACGCAATAACAATACACCTAATTGAGACAATTATAGCTTTTTGTGAGTACTACTTTGTCCATATAAATAAATTAAATGACACGGAACTAACAATATACATCAAAATAATCCGCAAATGTTGCTTAACCTCGAGAGCGGAACCTTCCATCATCCCAACACACAAAATAGACCCAAACAGCTTTAACTGAGTTTATGAATTTTAAGATATATTTAGAATTATCCGGCAATTGCTCTTAATCCAAAACTAATTAGATCGATAGATTCTTTTTAAATTACAAAACTCGTCAGTGGAATAAATTGATGTATACGTTTTACTTAAAATATAATTTGCAGTTTACTGCGTGTGTTACTATAGTTCGTATTGATTTGTGTATGTAATTGAGTACACATGTAAATGCTATTCACGTAACAGATAGGTTTATCAATAACGAACAAGTTGATTGATTTTCGATAGGTTAATTTTAGTAATGATAAATTTTCGTTCGATTTTTTTCCTTTCTATTCCCTCTACTAAAGGGATGGTATACACAGCATTTGTTAAAGTTCGTTCCTTTGTCCGTTCGTCTATTCCTGTACTTTACACTGATGAAATAACAACCTATATTGCTGACTAAGAAAGTTTGTTCACATGGTTTTCGGGATCGAGAATCACGAATTTGATGCTAGTTCTTTCCTATTCATCAAACTTCGGCTTTTCCGTTCCCTTTCCGAAAGAGATACTTTTCTGCATCTCTGCTAAAATCTTTTATAGAAGGTAGCGGATTGAACAGTATTTCTGGGTGTGATGTGTGCGAAGGTAGTAGTTTAGGATTTTGGACAAAAAGACTTTTTATATATTGCATTATGATAATTATAACTTGAGAAATCAGAACAATTTGTATGAGCTCGGATTGTTAAGTGAGAGATACCAGGTTTTTCAATAGAATTTTAACGGAAAATATGTGGCAAAAAAGTGTGCCCGTCAGGGTAACTCCATCGTGTTAGCTACGGAAACATCGGCTATACAAATCGTATTTGTAAATATATGAAGCACTAGGATGGGTGCTCTTTCTAGGGTAAATTATAAAATAAAAACTTTTATTTTCTTTTCGTAATGAAATGAGTGGAAGGTCACCATTTTGGAAGCAACAATGAAAAGGAACGTAGATATTCAGTTGAAAGTTAATTGAAAGACCAGATCTATAAGAGTCCCAGCTAGTGTCGATGATTTTTCGAAAGGATTAAATTGATGTCTATTCGAGCTTCTGGATCGAGCTCTGCGGACCCCTTGTGAAAAAATTATTTTTTGCTAAAAATGGTTCTTTGTGTGAAACAATTTTTTTTAGGAAAAACTTCCAAAAACTAACATCAGATTCGAGGTCAGCACATTGAAATACCCCTGGAAATGTCTCTTCCGAAAAATCGATTTTCGATGTTTTTTGGAGCCTGTGGATATACAAGCAAGCAATCAAGCAGACAATTAATGTTTACTGGAGTCTTCTCTATAAGAAAGAGAATATCTCCTGACAAAAAACCAGGAGACCGATTTATAGCCTTAAGGGCCCCAGTCTTTTCATCTATTATTGCTAAGGGGCGGCTTAGAATAAATGAACCTTTTAGTATTTTTACGGTAACTGCTGCATTGTGAGTTAAGAAAGTGCGGACCCACATTTTTCTGCACGTGCACATGGACCCAATCGGATTGAATCCGGTTTTTTTAATAAACTGCAGCAGCCTTTGAGTGTAAGGAATATAATGGATCAAGGTGGTTGCGAGTTTTAATTGGTTACCAGAAGGAAAAGATCTGTGCAAAAATCTTGTTGTTTATTTGTATTATATAAATAATTATTATGCATCCAATTCACGTTCCAAAAGCTTTTTTTCACCTATTTTAAAGAAGTTCGTTGGAAATATAGGCCCATTTTGATGTACACAAAAAGTGAGTACACTATAGAATCGGTCAATATGTCCGGCTGGCCGTCCGTTAATCCGATAACTCCTGAAGGAATAATTCAATTTTCATGAAATTAGATACATATCATTATCTTATCAATGCCTCGGTCGAGTTCTAAGATGAGCACGGTCGGCTGTACTCTTCCTAACTTTTGGTAAAGTTTTCTCTAATACCTATATGAAAAAGTTGAAGATTTATGTGTTTATCCACTTGTTTTCGTTTTGCTTTTAGTTACTTTCTGTATCAGCTACGGCCACGAAACCTTCTGTACTGTTTCTTTGGATCCAGAAAAATGCTGATTGGCCAGTGAAGGGGTAGGCCTGAGTGGCCTGGGTGAGGTCTGGGTAGAATTTCACCCAAGCGAGTTTGTATCAGAAAAAATCACGAAATCTTTCATAGAGCTTCTGTGAATGTAGGGAAACATCGAAAGAGAGTTAGTGGACCAGTAATGAGAGTGGGTAAGGATGGCGTGGGTGAAATCTCACCCAAGTGGTTCCATAACTGAAAAGGCCGTGAAAATTTGCTTGCTGTTCTCATGTCTAGAACGCGTCAAAAGACTGTTCGCATACTAGTGAGGATGATAGGTGTTGACGACCTGGGTAGGATCTAGGTGAAATTTCACTCCGCGATTTCGTGTCAAGACAGTACGCCATACCTTCTGTACTGCTTCCGTAGGCATAGGGAAGGGCAGACGAGTTGTTAGGGGCCAACAAGAATATGGATTAGGGTTAACGCGAATGAGTTATCACCCAAGTGATTTTGTGGCAGATAAGGTTGTCAAACTTTGCATGCAGTTTTTTGCATACTCAAAAGGTGAGTATACTATAGAATCGGTCAGTACGTTCGTCTGCCGGTTAATCCGATAACTCCTGAAAAAATAATCCAATTGTCATGAAATTTAGTACATAACACTATATTGGCAATGTCGCAGACGAGTCCGAAGTTTTCGCATTTGTTTAGGACTTAGATCGGGGCTCATATCCGAAGGTAGAATAGTTATTAGGCTTCCACTCCGGATGAGGTCCAACGCCCTAGTGTTGCTATATGAATACAATGGGGGAAAGTGCGACCTGAGAGAAATTTCATCCAAGCGATCTTCGTATTAGTTAAGGTTGCCAGAGCTTTTAGAAATATATTAGATGGTATAAAGTGTAGAAATCTATTGAAAAACAGTTTTCTTGAAATCACAGACTCAATTGAACATTGTCAAAGTATCAACAACATGTTATTAACAACAGATTTGGA